TTCAAAACTACTCTCTATTTAAATTAAATAAATTTACTAAATAAATTTATTAAATAAATTTACTAAATAAACTTATTAATATATAAACTACTACTTAAATAGCTAGTTAGATAACTAGTTAAGAAGTTAGCTAGTTAAAATACTATTTTAATAAGAACTTATTTTAAAAATACCCGTTAATAAATCTACTCCTCTTAAACTAAGCGCCCTTTTTAACTAACTTAATATTATAGCTATTATAATTAACGTAAGTATATTTAAGAAGTAGTAAAGTACTTTTTAATAATATAGCATTTAGCTAAGTAATATTATAAGTATTATAAATAGCCGGGCTAATATAGATATTAAGATCTAATATATTAATATTAACCTAATTATAATAATTATAATAAACGGGCTAGAGGTATATAAAGTTAGGGTAATAAGTTAGTATTTTTAATAGCTTTTATAAGACCCCTTAAGTAATAATAATACTTATATAAAAAAATAAATTATACTAAACTTAGCTACTTACGTAGGCTAGTACTAAGAGGTCTTATATATATTAAAATAAGTAAAGCTTGCCCTATAAGCGGCTAAAAGCGGTAAAAAGTTAGGAGTTTTAGTTAGTAATTAAGTATAGAGCGTATTATACTTAGTTTTCCCTAATACGTAATATATAGTACGGCCCCGGTAGATTGCTCCGTCGGGGGGATTATAATATATATAAAAATAAAGTTAATATTAATAAGAATATAAAAAAATAATAAGTTAATTAATACAACGACCCGATTATAAAAGCTATATATATAACTTTAACTTATACTTTTTAAATATTATTATTAATGAAAAAAGCTAAGAAGAACTAAGGTAATAAAAGTTAGGATCGGGAGATTATTAAAAAAAAAAAATAAGAACTAAGTAAAGTTAGTAAAAAAAGTAATAAAAATAAAAAAAACGAAAAAAGTAGCTATAAAAAAAAAGTAAATAAAAAGCTTAATATAATTAATTATATATAATAATTAGGACTAATTTAAAATAAGTTTTTCTATAAAAAATTAGAGAAGAAGAAATTAAGAGATAATTAAAATAGGGTAAAATAATTAGTCCTAATAGTTCTTTTTTAAAACTAATTAAGTATAAGTATTTATAAAAGGGCTAATTAAAATAAAATATTAAAAAAAAGACCTTAATTAAAAATAAGGAGCTTAGTAGCGTAGATTTTTATTTTAATTATATATATACTTTTTAAAATCGAACTAGAGCTTTTTTAATAATTTATTTTTAAACGTAATAATATAAAATAATTAAAAAGTCTACTTTTTTAATTTAATTAATATTATCCTCTTCCCTTAGTTATAACTCTATTAATTAAGGCCGTATTAACTTAATTAAAAGAGGTATTTTATATTATTTTTATAAGTATTAATAGTTTTTCTAAAGTACTATACTATAAGAGTCCTTTATACCCTATACGTTTTTAATATAATATAATATACTTTTTAATTATATAATATATATAATATACCCTAAGTACGTGCTTAATATAATATAATAATTTCGATATAAAAACTACTATATAATTTAGGATAAGTAAGCTACCCTTTTTAATAATAGCGCTAGTTAAAAAAGTTAATAATAGAGGTTAGCTATAATAATTAGTTATAATAGTTAATTATAATAATTAAAAGCGGCCCTTAACTATAGAGGTTCTAAACTTTAATAATAACGTAAAGGTATTTAAAAAAAGAGCTAAATAAGTTAATATTTATTACTTATATTAAAGCTTATAAAGATTCTTTTTATTCTTATTATTTTAAATATTACTTAAAACTACTCTTTATTTAAACTAAATAAATTTATTAAATAAATTTACTAAATAAACTTATTAATATATAAACTACTATTTAAATAGCTAGTTAAATAACTAGTTAAGAAATGAGCTAGTTAAAATACTATTTTAATAAGGTCTTAAAAATACTTATTAATAAGTTTACTCCTCTCGGGCTAGGCGCCCTCTTTAACTAGCTTAATATTATAATTATTATAACTAATATAAATATACTTAAAAAATAATAAAATATTTTTTAATAATACGGAATTTAGCTAAGTAATAATACGAATATTATAAATAGCTAAGTTAATATAAATATTAAGATTTAATATATCGATATTAGCTTAAAAATTATATTTTATAAAGCTAAAAATCCCTTTAATACGGGCTATATTATAAATATAAAGGAATATATAAAGAGCTCTCTAATTTTTAATAAAAAGGAGTATATAATATAATATTTAACTACTTACGTAAGTTAGTATTAAGAGGTTTTATATATATTAAAATAGGTATAGCTCGCTCTTTAAATAAGTAGGGGAAGGTTAAGAACTATTAATAAAAAGAAAATAATAGTTAAGTTAGTTAATTTTAATTAGTAATTAGGTATAGAGCGTAATATACTTAGTTTTTTTTAATACGTAATATATAGTACGGCTTTAGTAAATTACTCTATCGGGGGGAAATATAATATTTATAAAATTAAACTTTTAATTATTAAAAAAGCCCTAAGGGTTAACGAGCTATTAATATAATAGTTTTTTTCTAACTTTATAAGTATAAAAAATCGACCTTAATAGGATTACGTTTTTAAAAAAAATTATATAATATAGTATACTTTTTAATTATATAATATATATAATATACCCTAAGTACGTACCTAATATAATATAATAATTTCGATATAAAAATTATTATATAATTCGGGATAAGTAAGCTACTTTATTATTTATTAATAATAGTCTAAGTAATATATTTATATAGTAGCGCTAGTTAAAAAGGTTAATAATAAAAGTTAGTTATAATAATTAGCTATAATAGTTAGTAATAATAGTTAGAGGCGGCTATTAACTATAGAAGTTCTAAACTTTAATAGTAATATAAAGGTTTTTAAAAAAAGGGCTAAATAAGCTAATATTTATATACTAAAGTATTACGGCCTAACTAGTTAGGTACTAGCCGGCGTACCTATATAGTATAGAATAGGGCATAATAATACCGGAGTTATTATTATCGAAGCTTTTACTTTATACTATAGTTAGTTACCTTAACCTACTTATAATATAATAATAACTCTACCTTATATTAAGGGGTTATAGATTTAATTTCTATACGCTATATTAATAATATAATTATACCTCTTATACTATATAGGGCGTCCTAATCGTAAGTAATACGTATAAAACTAGTTACTTCGTACTATTACTAAAGTTTCCCTACTTATATTTACGATATATCCGATTAGTCCTCGGTATAGGGACATACCTCTTAGAGGGGAGATATAGTATTATAGCCTAATTAGTTAAGTACTAGCCGGCGTACTTATATAATATAGAATAGGGGATAATAATACTAGAGTTATTATTATTAAAACTTTTACTTTGTGCTATAGTTAGTTGCCCTGACCTATTCGTAATATAAAGCTTATAAAAATTCTTTTTATTTTTATTATTTTTAATATTACTTAAAGCTACTTTCTATTTAAACTAAATAAATTTACTAAATAAATTTACTAAATAAATTTACTAAATAAACTTATTAATATATAAACTACTACTCTCTTAGTATATAGTTAGTAATTAGTAAGCTAGAACTAAAAATACTTATTAATAAGTTTACCTCTATTAAGCTAAGCACCCTCTTTAGTTAACTTAATACTATAATTTTTATAATTAATATAAATATACTTAAAAAATAGTAAAGTACTTTTTAATAATATAAAATTTAGCTAAGTAATATTATAAATATTATAAATAGCTAGGTTAATACGGATATTAAGATTTAATATATTAATATTAACTTAGTTATAATAGCTATAATAAACGGGCTAGAAATATATAAAATTAAAATAATAAGTTAGTATTTTAAATAGCTCTTATAAAACCCCCTAAGTAATAATAATACTTATATAAAAAAAAGATTATATTAAACTTAATTACTTATATAAGTTAGTATTAAGAAGTTTTATATATATTAAAATAAGTAAAGCTCGTTTTATAAACAGGTAGAACTTAAGAGGACTTTACGTAATAAAAAGTTAAGAGCTATTTTAATTAATAATTAAGTATAGAGCGTAATATATTTAGTTTTCTTTAATACGTAATATACGGTACGGCCCCGGCAAATTGCTCTATTAGGGGGTAAATTACTTTTATAAATACTACTTATTAATTATAAAAATAATATAATAATAGTTAAGTAGCTAGCTCGCTTATTAACTAGCTCGCTTATTTAGCTAGCTCGCTTATTATATACGTTAAGCTAAATAATAAAATATTATATTTTAAGAGTTATTAGTTATTATTAATTTTGGTAGTGGTTTAGGTAGGTGGAAACATATTCTGAAAACTGGCTCTCTTTTTTTAACTACCGCGTTCTTAGCACTCTCGAACAGTCTTACCCAGGACGCGTAAAACGTATCCCCACTAGCTAAGGACGGTGGTGGAGAAAGCTAAGAATAGGGGCTTCCTCTCTCTCCAATCCTCAAATTTCATGTGGCATAGCTCGTACCCGTCAGCCAGGCTTTGGTCCTTGTAAGCGATCGTTGTTGTTTCATTGGCCGGTGTTTCGTTTGTTGGTGGTCCATCACTAATGTCTGGGCGTATCATGGCTTGAACGCCCTCGTATGAGAGCGGGACCGCAAGAGGCGAAGGGGCGATGTGTGGCACAGAGTCGTGTTTTTGTCTTACGCTTAGGCTCGCCCAGGCAACGGCATTTCGTTCTCGAGAACCTTCGAACCTCACTCCCTCGTCTTCCGACTCGTTTCGAAGCTCATTTTCAGCGTATTTTGTTTTCCACGCTCGTGCACGGCGATTTCGCAATCTCACCATGACTGGCTGAAAACGTTTCCATTCACTCTCGTTCAATACTACTTGCTTTTCTCTGGTGAACTCGCCCGTACTCACTCGTTACTTGCACTCTGGCGCCCTGCTTCGACAAAGGATAGACTCGGAATAATTGGGCAATCATGGCATTTGCATTTTTTTCGACCTTGGGACTCCTGGCCACATTTCAATTGTCTGGACTTGTAGCTGCGGATTCACAAAATATCGACCTCTGTGGTCAGTCAGACTGGTGGAACTCTACTGAAGTTCCGTATTCATGTGTGTAGCTTTCTGAATCGACGCAGCTGTTTTCATAACCACGACCGCTGACTGACAAACGCGGCAGTCAATAATAATGCCTGGGGAAACGACAGTTCGGGCTACCAATGCATGGCCGTCCATGATAATGGCCGTAGCTTCAGTGTCTCCTACAAATGGACCGGAGATGCTTCTCTTGTCAAAGGCTACCCGTACATGAAGGCTCATCCGACTAGGCTCCCTGTCCAGCTATGGAACGTCACTCAACTACAGGTCACAGGGAATTGGCAGACTTACGTTGCTGGCAAAGAAAAGGCCAGTGCTGAGCAGCAGGCCCAGGCTTTCGATGATGTTTCGCTCTACGCCAACGTTGCTGTCGACATGTTCCTGTCCGATAACAAGGAGAACTCAACCATGGTCGGCGCCCCCATTGAAATCATGATTTGGCCCTGGTGGACGCCAACTGTAAAACCACTAGGATGGGCCGAGTCCACTCCCGACAAAGACACCGTCACCATCGACGGCACCCCTTTCTCATTGTATCATGGCTGGAATGATGGGGGACAACATGTTTTTTCATGGTTGGCTCGCACCAACCTCACCAAGACCGATGCCGACTACGGACCTTTGCTCACCTATATCTGGAAGAAGGGTATGCTGTCAGGCGCAATATGGCTAGGGCAACTCGAGCTGGGCACCGAAATCAAACACGCCGCTGGCGACATGCACTTTGAAGCCAGTAACTACACCTTGAAGGTTGTTAGGCAAGGAGATCCAGAAGACAAGGCGACCTCAACTTCCACAACTCGATCTAGTACTAGCCAGACCGCGACGACGAAGACAATGATGACGACAGCCGCAGCTGAAGCCGCCACCACTTCTGCGCCGTCTCCTACCAGCACCAATGCCGCGTCTACTTCTTTGCTTGTAGACCTTTCAACAGTTTGTTGGATCTCACTCGCCACAGTCTTGTTGTGTTAATATGACCGGCTGCCAGATATGTGTAAAGAAATTCGGCGACCAATTACCTCAAGGAGTTTATTTATTCTAATCAAGCATATTTTAATCGAAGGTCAACTTTGTCTACAGGGAAACCAGGCCTCGAGTGACGGAAAGTGCTCAGGGGCCCGAATTCAGTGCCGGATCGATCAACGACGAGGTCGTAGAGAAACGTACTGTCTTTGTATCAGCCTTTCTGCATTAGGCAATATGGAACGAAGCCAGTGAAGAAACCTCACTGTTTGAGCGGGTTCTGGGCGGTATTAAGCTGTCCTAATAGCCTCTGTGCCCTAACATCCACTCTCAGCCATGCGCGTAGTTATAGATGTGATAATGGCAGTTTCATTACCATGGGTGGACATGTTGGGCGGCACGATGGTGATGCTCAAGAAATGATGCTTGGTCACTCGCAACCGTTACAACGACACTGGCGCAGACCCACGCCTCTTCCCCGCAATGGCAGGTCAGATCTGAAGACATCATGGATTTGAAGGAAATTCAGGAAGTTTTCAGCGTAATTGCTAAAATGCCCTTCCAAGGCTACCAATTTTGTGCCTAAGCTATAATACACACTCATTTGAACCCATATGATCACCAATGAATGATATCATGGGCTAGCCTTTTGTGTACGCTCAGCTTCGAGCTCCCTCTCAGCCTGCTGATAGTACTTGGCCGTATCAACGCCATGTTGATTGTGGTTGACAAAGTTGAACCAAGGAATAACGCCCATGAACAAGGCCGAATATCTAGATTGTCGCGCAGCGACGCCTTGCAAGTGAGGAGTCAATCTGCTCTCTCCGTAAAGCGGCTCGCCAGCCTTGACCTTGGAAACCATTTCCTTCATGTCCAGCTCAACTTCGCGAGCGTTCTCGGTGGCCCCGTAAAACCGCACTGTAAGCCGACCTCGTTAGCATTCTGCGCCCCATGCAACCTTCTTCATCCGTAAAGGTCGCCCGGATACATATCCTTACAGCTAGAGCGCTGGTAAAAGTATAGAAAGCCACCAGCCACACCAATGGCTCCAGCCAAGCGTAAAGCCTGAGCCATACCTCCCTTGCCAACGTGGGAAGGAGCAAACTTCTCCAGGGCGAGGAGAGCGCCGGGACCGAAGGCAGCAGCTACAGCACCATGTAGATAATCGGAGGGCCTGGCATAGCCGACAACTCTTTTGAAGTGGCTGTAGTCGTTCTCTGTTAGCTTCTGATCCTATGGAGGCTGCGGCGGGCGGGTCGGAGCATACGGGTCGTTATCGATGAGCTTTGCGAAGAGAGAGATGTGTCAGCTCATATTTGCCTTTAGATATACATCAGGGTCTTACCGGGTAATCACTCCTCACGACCTTGGTCGGAGTGAAAGTCTGCGCTTGTGCGGTAGCCATTGTAGCGGACGGCAATGCGAGGCCCGATTGCGTCGATGATGGCCGATAGCTCTATATTCTCAGCGGTCGATTCAGATGTCGAATTAGATATGAGCGGACGCTGATTGGGGCCAAGCCACTAGATTAGCCTGAGGCAGAACACAGTCCTGAGCACAGACCAGTATAGGTGTGGCTTTGCACTTAAGTGGGCGCACACATGAACCACCTCCCCGACAGTTGCAGACCCCTGGAGGACCAAGCTGCGCCGACGCGTCGTTTAATTGAAGACGCGACCTCGAGTGACATTCCGCGTTTCTCGGAATGCACAAGGCGGCAGCGACTCTTCTTGGGCAGAATCCGCACAACTACGACGGATCGAATAGTGAAACTCGAGCGATGGCTTCCAGAACCGTACCTGAATATGACGATCTCGACGTGTACAATGTTGATGACGACTTCGACGACCCATTCAAATCCCCACCGCCCGAGGCGAAAGATGGGAGCACGAACAAAAGAAAGCAGGCCGAAGCCTTGGGCCTTGATGAGGAGGTCGAGGTGGCTAAAAGAGTGCGGGTGCCACGCGTAAAGCTGGACGAAGCTCGGTTGGTATCTCATATGCTCGATACTACGAGTTACTGATCTTTGACAGGCTACTGTCAGACAACGGGATACCTAAACTTCGAAAACGCGCCGGTAACCTCAAGTTCAAGGGCAAAGGACACGAGGTATGCCCGTTCCACCTTCTCCTGCGATTTTGATCCCGTGCTGAGGCGGCATTTTCTAGTTCTCCGATGCTGCGCGTCTTCTATCCTTTTACCAGCTTTGGCTTGACGACCTCTTCCCCAAGGCGAAGTTTCTCGACGCTCTGAGCATGGTTGAAAAAGCCGGCCACAAGAGGCAGATTGTACTCAAGCGCATGGAGTGGATCAACGAGGGCAAGCCCAAGCCATGGGATGCAAACGAGGACAGAACAGAAGATACGGTGGAAGAGGCACCAGAGCAAACAGCCGAACCCCCCACTGCACCAGTTTCGGCAACTGTCCCTCCACAACAAAACCTGGAAACACCAGAACGTGGAGACATACTGGATGTAGAAGACATATACAGTTCAACACCGTTGGCTAGGAAGCAGGATATGGGAGTGTCCGCCTTACAGCCTGAGGAACCCGACGACGATGATCTTGACGCGCTCATGGCTGAAGCGGATGGAGCAACCCATGCACAAGCACCAATAGCCCAGGAGCACACCGGCAAGTCAGTAGAGGAAGAGTTCGCAGATGAAGAAGCCGCTATGGCCGAGATGGACGGGCTTTGGTGATAGGATCAAGCTTGCAGCAAGTAATTGCTTCATGGGCGACGATGGGGTTAGCACAAGGATAGATTGCCTGCATGACGGACGGCACTGGCGCCACGATTCCTATTTAGATCTACGACGAGCACCATCTTGGTGGTCCGTGGTCTCAAGCAGTCTACTGATGTAAGGACAACCACCCTTGTGTCGTCAGCATGATTTTGGACATGACAAGGAATAAATAATACAGATACGAGCGAGCTGTCACTGTGAGCTGAAGATAGATTGGGACATGGAAAGAATCATCTGAAATGACATGAACATCATTGGTCGCAAGGCGACGTTTCATTGAATCAACATAATGTTACAGTCCACCGAAATTGTCTATACTGACTGGACACCATGCTTGCGCCTGTACACCATTTTCCCATCCCATTCAAGCCAACCGAAAACGCTTCCCATTCTCTTTGGTGTCAGTCACTCCCCGCTTCCTCTTGGAAGCCGAAACAAACATGTGATTATTAGTTGGTGTTGAGATATCATTCGCCAGATCGGGCGCATGGGCTCTTAGTTGAAGTGTATTCTTGCGGTTGATTTTCCGCTCTTCAACTCTGAGAACCCATAACAGCGTCAAGAGAACCTCCCTGGACGGCAACGGTGCGCCGACAATCCACGTTGGTGGTGTCTGACTGCTATCGCGCTGCGCCGAAGATTCAACCGACGACCCCCCGATCCGGTCATCGCATCCTTCAGACACCAACCGCAATGCCTCCATCGTCGCATCCATGAGCGGACGCGCCAGAGTGGGGCTGCAGGTTAGGATTCTCTGAAGAGACTTGAGTCTCAGAGTGGGTGAGATCGCGGCCGAATTCCGGGTCCGCTGCGACGGCTGCGCCGTTGACGTCGTCGTGGAGGAACTCGTTGATGTCGAACGGGTCTTGGAGGAAGGTAGAGTCACCAACCAGATAATCGTGTTCATAATCGAGGGAGTTGGGGGAAGAGAGAAGCCCGCTTTCAAGGACATAGCGATCTGCGTCAAGGGCCGCTGACAAACTGAAAGAATCACTGATGAGGTGACTAGTAGCGTCTGAAGCTGCAGAAAGAAGACCAAGGTCGGATGCAGAGGGGTTTGAGAGGCCAGCCATGATTGCGGAAGCTCCTCCGACAGATGACACTGCAGGTCGCACAACATCGCTGCAGGACGTTGTGTCAGGTCGGAGGTAGACTTCGCAACAGAGGTCTCGGCCGTTGGCTGCTCCTCACCGCCCTCCTCAGTACCCTCAGCGATTGGTAAGAGTTCTGGAGAGAGCGATGCGGGATTGACAGTGGCGTTGGGATGAGATGTGGTCATGAGGTCGTCGACGAGGGACTTAGTCTCGTCTAGTGAAGCTCGGTGGCCGTCGTGGGAGCTGAAGAGCTCTTGAGACAACGTTACAGAGTTCTTGTGTAGGGGGTCGTTGGGAGACGTTGAACGGGTCAACATGCCAGAGTCACGACGGAACTTGTTCAGTTCATCCACCAGCAACTGGTTTGCTTTGGTGACGTTCTGGAGAGCCGACTCGAGTTCTTTGTTGCGTCGTTCCAAAGCCTCAACCTCCAGTCGCTTTCGCTCACGGGATGATTGGGCGGCTCGACGGTTGCGAAGAACCCGCTCAACACGGCGTTGTTCCTTTTCGTCTTCTGTCTTGGCGCGTTTCCTACCAGATGTATTAGATCAGGTGCACAGGAGGGCAATGCTGAGACACATCAGTTATGGCAACTTACCGAGGAGGAAGGTTTGTCTTGGGCTCAGGAAGAACCTGACCCCATGACTTCCGCTTCTTCGTTTGCTTCTTATCCGGAGATGATGATCCTGCGCCGTCCGGAGCCGGGGTCGAAGCCGTAGATGCGGGAAGACCACCGTCGTCGTTGAAGGGCGGCGGTGTCATCATATCGGAGGGATCGAGAGTATCATCATTGACGACGCTTGCGTCGCCAAATAGCGATGGGTATATTTCGCCAGGTGTGGAAACGAAAGACTCGGCAGGCGAGTCCTCGAACTTGATCATTGGTGATGGCTGCTCCCAGGATGCCATTGTATGTCAAATATTGGTCGCGTCGGGAGCTGAACTCTCGACAGCAGACCCGCTCTAGCGTAGTAGAAGGAGAGGGGTGTTGGAAGCTGGAGCGTGCAGTGAAACTGCTTGGTGTGGAGTGAATTGGCGAAGATCTGGGGGTGAGATAGAGTGGTAAGGCTGATGCGTGAAGCCAGTGGAGGCAGTAATGAGGTGCCGACTTATGTCCTCTGATGATATACCTAGCCAAAGCCGCGATGCTAAGTAGAATGCATGTTGG